AAATGCATGAAAAATACTCGATTGAAATATTCAACTAGTTCAATCACAAGACAGGTAATTCAGATCACGAATTCTGACAAATTTGATCATATGACAGGTTATGCCGAACACGAATTCAAACAAATTCGACCACGAGACAGGTAATTCTAATCCCGAATTCTGATAAATTCGATCACAAGACCGGTAAATCTGATTACAAAATCGGACAAATTCGATCATTAGACAGGTAATTCCGATTTCGAGTTCGTAAGAATTTTATCATAAGACATGTTATGCCGACCACGAATTCGATCACAAGACAGGTAATTCCGATCCCGAATTCTGATAAATTCGATCACTAGACCGGAAAATCCGATCACTAATTCGGACAAACTTGATCATAAGACAGGTAATTCCGATTTCGAGTTCGTACAAATTTTATCATAAGACATGTTATGCCGACCACGAATTCAATCACAAGACAGGTAATTTTGGTCAAAATTTTGGACAAATTCTATCACAACACAGATAATTCGGATTAGTTTAAACATATTTTATTTGCTGAATTAAAGCAACATGGATTAGACACAAGTAAATCATACTTATGAAGTCTTCTCCATAATACAATATAAAATTACAACATGTAAAATAATAGTATAATATAATGGACATGCATATAAAGCAAACAGTTTATAGAATATAATACTATTCATAGGTAAAAAGAGGAGAGAGAGAGAAAAAGAGGAAAAGAAAGTTTGACCAGTCATATAATTCTGTGATGATGACGATGATGTCCCGTGCCAGTAACAATAACGCTCTATCGAGGCATAAGAAATCTGTTTGACCTTTTTATGAAATTTTGAACATGTTTGAAAATTTGAATATTTTGGTCGTTCGAAAGTTCCAAGTGTCCGCAAATTAATAGTTTTGTATGTACAACACAGTTTTCGGATAGCCAGTTAAGATTATTGAATGAGGTTTTTCTACATGATTAATTAACAGGTAATTCGGATCACAAGTTCTAACAAATAAGATCAACTCAAACATCATCTACCATGCAAGCTTTCTCTTACCAAATGGCATAACGCCATTTGAAATTATTTTTTTGTGTAGCGAATACCCGACTCTAATAAAGACCCATTATGTATATTTATTAATTAAGATATACGTATAGTTGAGAAATAATTATAATTTTTTTCATCTCCTTATCATTGTACACTATACATTGCTATAATGATCCCTAACACTTGTGCACAAAACGTTCATTTAAATTTTAAAAAATCATTTAATATTTATTTGTATATTAATATTAAATTAAAGTAAATGTATGTTTTATAAGTAGTTCTTTACAATCAGCAACACATTGGGTACCCGGATTTAAACTTTTTTTAAATTCAATCTATTAATCATATTTGTAACACTATTTTTGTCATACAAAACAGCGCTTTAGGTGTAACGCAATAAATAATCAATAATCAAACTAATATTTAAAGGTATTTCCAATCTATTTTTAAATATGAAAGTAGTAATATTGTCATAAAATGGCGTCGACACAATATCACCATCTTTGTTGTAAGTCATTCTTTATTCTTTCACATAGTTTTTATCTTGTCTGGAGAACGATGCATTTATTTACTTTCTTATAGAATTACAACCAGTTTTTCATTATAAATGATCATTGTACAGAGTAAGCAATGAAATCCATATTGATAGACATTCTTGTTTCACTGTAGACTAGTGCCTATAAACAAGATTTTGTGAGTTAGACGAAGTACTCCTCAAAACAATCGTATTGAATTTTGAAGTCCAAAAAACAAAGCAGTTTGAGATTAATTGTAATTATAACATTACCATTTGATTAAAACATACATATGTTTTTGTTAAGATAAACAAGAATTTTACATTGCATAGTCGTGCGCAAAATGTTTTTCGGCATTTTTCTTCTAAAAATTACTTGTTTAATGGAATAAAACGTCTGATTTGTAAACCTTCCTTTTTTTCCGGAATAGGCTATCAAAAAGTAATTAATCTACTCTGTATGTGGCAATTCTTATTATCTTTCGTACTTCAGTTTCGTTTTATTAGGGACTTTCCGTTTTGAATTTTCCTCGGAGTTAAATATTTTTGTGATTTTACTTTTTATTGATGAAAAACAAACAAAATAATATGGACTCAACCAGTGTTCAGTTTGAAGGTTATTTCAGTTACTGTACGCATTCATGCATGTTCTAGCTGATTTAATCAATTTACGTTACTGTACGCATTCATGCATGTTCTAGCTGATTTAATCAATTTACGTTACTGTATAGAAGAAAAAAATAGTTGAAGGTATACTAATAATACCTTCAATTTACGTATGATTCAATAACAATAACCGGTCCACAAGTTATAGGGATAAAATTGGTAGGCAGAAAATGACAGATATTTTAAGTTAATTTGTTTGCAATAATGAATAAAAATTTCAAAAACATGTCGTTCTGTATTGGTATAGTTTTTGGGATCTTTCATTTGTGTATTTAGACAATCGAAATTTTGGGCTTCAAAAGTCTACACAATTATTGACTTTATACAGAAAATTCTCCCTTTCCAAACATTCTATAATTCACAATTAATAAATGTCTTTAAAAAAAAATAATAAAATTAACTTCTGTGGATGAAAGCGTAACACCAATACCTCACTCTGTTCCGTTTTGTTGGTGAAAAAACCCGTTATACCAAGAATAAACTACAGACCCTTCACCTTTAAACTTAATTCGCATACCTCTTATGTGCGAAAAAATAAAGAAAATTTCAAGGAAAATAGGAATTAGAATTATGAATTAACACATTTTAACATTTTTAGTGACCAATGCCACATAGTCAGCTATAGTAGGCCCCAAAATGACAAATACTTAGTAATGAAAACGGGAAAACTAACGGCCTAATTTATGTTCAAAAATAAACGAAACATGATACATCAACATTGTGATATGTGTGCCAGTAAGGCAACTCTCCATCCAAGTCACAATGTGTAAAACGTAAACCATTGTAGGTCATATACTGCCTTCAACACGGAGCCTTGCCTCATACATTTTGTACCGAACAGCAAGCCATAAAGGACACCAAAATGACTAGTGTAAAACAATTTAAACAAAAAAACCCAACGGTCTAATCTATATTAAAAAAGAAAAACAATACAAACTTATGAACCACATCAACAATTGACAACCACTGAACACCAGGTTCCTGACTTAGAACAGGTGCAACAAAAAAAACAGTCGATTTGAACGTTTTAACAGGCGCCAAACTTCACCCTAACCTGAAACAGTAGTTTAACATTACAAAATGTTCAACATAGAAAGACACAATAAAATATCACTTGAAATGGCGTAACTCAATTAAAAATAAATATATATATGTTTGACATCAATAAAGATATTGTTTATTTCAGACAAAGGTTCTTTATGTATATCAATGCAAACATTGTAAAACAAAATGACTTCTTTATAACATTTAATTAGATACTTATTCCACTTGATAAAAATAAAAAAAAGAGATAAATGAATAATATATGATGTGATAAATAAATGATATATAAAGATTCTACCACTGCATCGAGTGTGATACGATATTTATCCACTCCAGACAGTTAAATTTTCAAATTTAAGACGTCAGGCTCGACGAGCGTTCTAAATATTTAAAATTTAACTGCCGAGAGTGGATAAATATCCTATTACACGAGATTTGGTGGTGGAATCTGTTTCTCTAATGATTTTTGATTAATATGCAAGCAGATTTAATCCTTCTTTTCAAGTGATCTGCAAAATGATGTGTTCTTTCTATGTGACGTCATCAGGTATGGTCGCCCTTTTTCATTCCATCACAATAAGAAATTCATAAGAAGAGTAAGAAATTTCGACGTCACAATAGAATTTTGACCAATGAAGAACTGAGATCAAATGAACCACACGTTGATAATCAACGTTTAAGAATTAGAGAAAAGAAATTACATTTCCATGCACACGAATTATATAGTTTTTACTTTTTAGTGAGGCACATTTAACTCAATGTTATGGAGGCTAATTTCTGCCGTCGTGAAGTCGAGTTGACAAAATAATTAAGGCGTCATGCCTAGATAATTACAATGATAGGATGTATCCTTTCCTTACTGCTTCCATCTTTTACTTTTGATTCCAAATGAATCAACTAAAATTAACCTAATTCTTTTTCTTTAATGTTTTATATGTTGAATTAAGACTGAGAGAATTGTCATTGTTAATCACAATTAGAACGGTTAAATGTACTTAAACGCTTACATGATGAAAACATTGAAAAATTCTTTTAGTGCCAACACTCGACTGTTTTTTGTTTTGTTATTAAGGGAAAAAAGTAAACGAACAAATTACGTAACATATCTTTATAATTTATGTTTATTCGAAATAACCTCAATAATGTGGTACACATTTTTCAAAACCCCATTTTGCTGGTTAGTCAGTGTGCGCCACATTGCTGATGTTATTTCTTCATCGACAAAAATAAGATTATAGTCGATTTCTAAAACACATCGTCACCTTCTAACTGATAAATGACAAATCATAATTATTCCAGAAAGTGATGACAATAAAAGATAGGTTTCCATATTGTCGAAAACAAATAGATACTGACAAGATAAACAATACATAACATAACAATGGTCTGACAATCCAAAAGGCAGAATTACTCACTTAAGGTGGTACCCAACACCTTGACTAAAACTAATTTGGCTCGTTTAATTTTCATAAAATTTTGACATAATGTTTACTTTGACCCTTTGACAAAAATATAAAAATTTCAAAGAATTTGAACCAACCACTTTATCAGAAAAATTTCGTTGGTTATATAGCAGTTTGACAAACACTAATTTTTATCATTGAGAAGCGTAATATTTCCTTAACAAAACAACGTGATTAAAACGTTTAGCTGATTTTTACAGAGTTATCTCCCTGTAGTGTTAGGTACCACCTTAATATGAACGAAGAACCTTCGACATCAGGTGGCAGTACATGTTCAATATCACAAAAGCGCCAGATGAAGTCGATGTGATGGCTGCCAAACCTCCAGAAGTAAGAGATGGGACAAACCTGTCAATACCACTGAAACTCCAAGATAAAAATGATGTTATATCTGACAAGCATCCAGTAGTAACAGGTAGTTGTATCAAATTCAGTAAGCACATAAGGTTCATACACATTCTGAATGATTTCACTGAGAACTTATTATATCGTTTGACAGTTGTATTCATTTGGGAACAAACTGTGATCCTATACTTGCTGATTATTTTCGCTTTTCTTTTGAGGCAATTTTGAAAGGAGCTTAACCTTTTAACATCAAGATCCGCTTTATAGACGATGTGCTTTTACTGAGTGAATCTATTGATTGCAACAATAAAAAAAAATAACCTGAAATAACGAATACTACCAGAATCAATAAAGTCTGCCCTAATGTACCAAATAAACTTTTTTTTATTATTATTACACTGAGGGTTGTTGGAGAACTTATCTTAACGCCACAAATTGATTAAAACAATTTCAATTGAAACGTTCTATTTCTGTGAAACTACATTTTAGCAGCACATTCATTTAAAATATTTATCTTCTGTTTTCTGCAACATTCCAGGGCTTGCTTGTCCAATCATGAAACTCTAGTTTTACGGACGCCATTATGGTTCGGTTTACCGTTATGGAATATAAGACATATATCCACTGACATTATCCACTTGTTGTAGAAACAATTTCGTCTTCTTTTACACGATTATAACATTACAGAATGTAACCGATCATCATGTATTTAACTTGCCATGAGTAACCCATTGCCGAAAAGGGTTCATGTTACTTCTGCTTTAGTTTTGAGTGTTGTATTTTTTTATTTTTTTTTATGCGACTGCAAATCATAATCTGTGCATTATACAATTATTTCAAAGTTAATCGTGGAGGTAGATCTTCAAATGCGAAACACCTACATGTATTGATGCTTCATATTATACCTTTACTGGAAGACTATCAGATTTTTTCTTAGAAATACTATTTTCCAGAAAACGTAACATTTGAACCATGCAAAAAAAATACTAATTTTGTTTACGCTTATCTAACTCATATCAATTAGCTAAAGTGCAATGGCATAATTATAATAGATGAACAAGTAAAGGTTTTGACAATTACGATAACAATGTTATATCTGAAAACAGGTTGCATTTATTCGTGATTCGCAAATTGTACAAAAATTAGAAAAATTTGACATTTAAACAAAAGATTTGTTTGTTTCACGTTAATTGGTTGACAACACTCTTCCAATACGAACCACCTAAACTTCCACAGTATTGTATACCGATATTAGCACAATAAAGCAAAATGCAAATTTAATGTAATTTAATGTACAAATAACCATTTATTTTCCTATATGTCATTTAATCGAAGTGTTGTGCAAAGTTAACATTAATAAGGAGAATACGACTATAACTTTCGTTGACTGATATCTAGACGTTTGATATATTTACTTAAACATATATATATATTTATATAGATATAGCCTTGAATGTTATACTGCCCTATATTTTTTCGAGTTTAAAAATGTTTAAGACTTTTGATCTACAAGCCATTGTATACGATAGTAGCTCATAATTCAACCGTTAAGGTATGCAATGAACATATGTTTGTATTGTATATGTGGTGGCTTGACGTAATATTGCACATTTCATCGGCATTATTAAAAATATGATAAGTATAACACTGTCTGAATTGATGTAGTTTTAATGATGGCAAAATTTATAGATCTATAAACTGATGGAGTTTAACAATTGTTGAAACAAAAATAAATAGACAAATCGTATATAACACGACGTCAGTGTCCGAAATTAATATACTCTCTGCATTTGACATAAAATAAAGCGCAATGTTTTTGTATCTTTATTTTAAGCAAAACTGTCAGCTTTAGACGATAGCCAGAAGAGATGGTTGATTGTTGGAATATGTCTTCACAGGATAATATTACCAGCACTGAGGCAATATATTGTTCCAATTTTAACGGACCTGTATAATGAATTAGTTCTCAAACAGAATATTGAAACGCAAACATATCAAACACATTTAACACGATATGCACCAGCAAACACTGACCTGAATTATGAAGCTGTCAACAACAACAAAGCAACGTATGGTAATCAAAGAGCAAAGTACGACTACACAATCAAGAGTGTTGTTGATCTATCGAAGCTATTTCTACCGACACACATGGCACCCGATACAGGCTTTCATGAAACATGTGACATTTCTGCTTTGCTGGGATTGATCATCAATACTGGCAGGTTCCCAGTATCTGTTAGCTCATGTGCAGAAAATGTTAGTCTATTATCTGTTTACATTAATATCTTACCGTTTTTGCACGAAAATTCAATATTTCAATTGTCTATTATTTTTTTTCATACCAAAAGGTGCATAAATTTTACCAAGCTATACAAAACATTTGTTCAGATACAGAACAATGAAAATCACACAACAGATGTAATGCTTTATGTTAAATATGCACTTGATTCAATACTCGGGACAATCAAGTTTCTGACAGGTCACTGTGACACGATTCAACACCTCTTTTCAAAAATAATTTGATGTCTAGATATTCAATTTGCTTCCATATGTCAATCTGTATACAAAGATATGAATGTTGTTTTGCATTTTGTTTTATGTTAGGTACTAAGTGGTATAAGAAACCCATGGGTTCATTGCAATTTCACTGAATGGGATGATGTTAAGTATTATCATTCATTCGAACTGATGGAGCAGCTAGTCAAGACACTTAGGCTGAGTTCCTACGAAAAGAGTCAAATCAATAATGAATTGAGAGAATGGAAAATTAATGGTAATGTACAAATATAAATTTATGATTGAATAAGGATTTTTCTTGCTGAATGTCAAGTGGCAAATATTATAACCTTGTAGAAAAATTTAACTTTTCGACGCTGTGCTTAATTTTTATCGTAACAAATCTAATAATCGTATAAAAGTTAAACGTAGAGGGCTGACATCAGTTTATCAAAGCAGACTTACTGTTGAAGGTCGTACGGTGACCTATAGTTGTTAATTTCTGTGTCATTTGGTTTCTTGTGGAGAGTTGTCTCATTGGAAATTATACCACATCTTCTTTTTTATATTTACGATTAGGACAAGCTTATGAGATAATTGTGGGTTCGTCAAAAAACTCGCCACTCATGATTTGTCATAGGACACCAACTTAACGAGTCTGAGTTGTCTTTAGATGGTCCTTACACTGTGATGTTTATGTTGTATCCCAAGCCTTTTTTAACACTTTTGGTTGCAACATTGAAAAGTGTTTTTTAAAGGGATGATTGGTGCTTTTCCAATTCGTCCAGGAAAATATGAAGTTTGGTATCAGTATTCCTTCTTACGTTCATATTCATTATAATTTATTTTTATATAGATAATTTCATATTAATTATTATTATTTGTTAAAAATGTTTATTGATAAATAGAAAATCATTTTTAACTGAATATATACTTTTCCGTCTTTGTTTGTTATTTTTCTTCTTTGAAAACAATATGGATAGCTGTCAGATAATCACAAGGGATATTCAATGAGATTGCACCGATATATCATAGGATCGACCAAAGTCCATCTTCAATCACCTTCAAAAATGTTCTAACATTTAACATAGGACCGAATTTAAAACATCTTCGACAAGTTTGGTGAATAGTGCAGGGATACAGGTGATCCCTTCTATCTGGTAAAAGATATCATAAATGACGCGCAAAATTGACGAACTTTTCCGCTGAACTCGAAAGTGGTCCTTTGAAATTCAATAATGCAAATATTTTCTGATCCTTTTGTAGTCCATTTAGTCATCAACTTTGAGGGAGTGAAAACATGTTTTTTCTCAATGATTCCCTGATATATTAATTCCAAATTTTCATTTCAAACACACGTTTTTTTTTCATTTCCCTACTGTAACATTTTGTTTTCATAGGAAAGCAGAGAATTCAAAAATTAAAAACAAATCCATACCACGAAAAAGACAAAAGTTCGGCGCCTACTTTAAAACTTTGAATGTGAATTATGTGAACATTTCACACTAAACTCCTTGACACATTAATGATTACTAATACTCAACATTATACTACTAGAATTTCGTATTCAAAAACGACATTGTTCAGAAAACGAAACATTTGAACAATGTCAAGTAAAACTTAAGGACGTGGACTCTAACACAGATATACGATGATTATGAAATCATTAAATTGCAAACGTGAATGCTTGTTTTTAAATAAAGTTCATATGAACACTGAACATAGCGTGTTGACAACTACGACGACAACGTTTTACCCGAAAAAAAAACTTTATTCTTGCATTACAACATATGCTGCTAATTATAATAAAATGACAAAAAGGACATTTGCAAAATATCTATTGATTTGTTTGAAATACTCAACAATTTGTTGTTCAGAGTTTGAATAGACCACATTTTGGGCTCGATCAGTAAGGTCGAGTACAGATTTTACTTTTTTTTTTACAATACTCGACATAATTTCGACAGTACTGATCTGAACTCGACTTTGGTCTCGGGTTCACTTACTAACTATGACTGAGTACTTGATATTTGTGGTATATTATGAATATGGTCTCGACAAATGCTTTACCAGTTTCGACCAGTCTCGAAACAGTCATTACCTGTCTCGACCCAGTCTTCTTCACCTTTAAATTTAGTCTCGACTGGTCTGAATCAGCCCATCTACCTCAGTTGTATATTAATCTTTCAGAATGCCCGGTTATTTGGTACTAGTAGTTTGACTTATTGCTGTCAAATTGAAGGCTTTAATAACAGGTATAAAAGGCTTAAATTTTCAGATAATCACCTTTAAACAAAAATAAAATTTTTTAAAATCATCTTTGATGTTTATTGAATTTTTCAGCTATCTCAATTATATAGTAATCTTACAGAATGACAGCTTATTATGCAGTTCTCTTCTTTGCTGTTACATTAAAGGATTTAATTAATAGGTAAAAAAGGTTGAGTCTTCAGTTCAGACTAAATTCAGATAGTAACTTTTGAAAATTGGGATATGTATAATTTTTTCAAATCAACTTCGATTTTCATAAAACTTCACGCTATCTTCATTTGATATTGATCTTACAAAATGCCAGATTATTTGGTAGACAATAAGTTTGGTTTATTGCCGTCATCAATCTTAAGAATTTAGACACTAGATGTCAAATTCATGCTCACATTTCATAACTGCATGTATGTAAAACATTTATCCATATTATAAAAAAGTATAAAAGAGGGGCGAAAAATACCAGAGGGACAGATAAACTCATAGATCGATGATAAACTGACAACGTCATGTCTAAAAAAGAAAAAGACAAACAAACAATAAGTAGAACACAAGACACAACATAGAAAACTAAAGACTAAGCAACACGAACCCCACTAAAAACTGAGAGTGATATCAGGTGCTCCGGAAAGGTAAGCAGATCCTGCTCGATCCACATGTGGCACCCGTCGTGTTGCTCATTTTATTACAAACTCGGTAAATAGTCTAATTCGGTAGGTGACAAACATTTAAAGGGAGGGAATTGTAGTTACGACATAAGGAACATATCCGATATCATCTGTGAATCGTTTTTTCCATTACGATCAACCAACTCGTGATGGCGTCCGTAAAATTTACGAAGGGATAATTTCAACTTCACCATTTGAAACTGTTGGTTTAATAGCTTCCTCGTGAGCAGCAACCCTCTATCAAGGAAAATATGATAGGAAATAAAAGTCAAAAACATTGTATTAATTGGGAGATATATACTCCGTATGCAGGTGCTTGAAAGTTGCTAAATATAAATTGTAAGTTCACACTTAGGAAGCTGAAATCATCTCTCTCTCTCTAAAATAACCAATTTACAGGGCATGAGCTGGATAATATGTAATTTCATTTCGTGTGAATTTTAGTTTAAACACCATCTAATTAACTATCAAGTTGACCTCGGGAAACCTCCGATGGTCATATAAGCGATATACAGATAAATATAGATTTAAATAGAAACAAAATCGTGCATTTGGATTTTCCTAAGTCTGTTTAATTTCAAATTATAGATTAAAAATATATGTTAATCATCGTTTGTACCTGTATAAGAATGATATTTTGTGGAAATCAGTCAATAAAATGATTTACCTTTGATTCACTTTCAATGTTGACATTTTTTTCCTGTAAATAACTCAACACACACAACACATGCGTTATCCATGTTTAACTAAGGGGTTAAATTGAAGTTCACATACATACGGATTCAATATATGGTCGAATCACCAATGTGTCTTTGCTTATTTTGACAAAATGGAAAAAAAGCGAATTATTATTTCACTTTTTCACTTTCATTAATGATTGAACAAAACAAATCATATTTTAGATTTTTCATATATCTTGTAGCTAGTGCCCCTTTAATTAACATGTAAAAACAGCTGAAATTTTCAATTTGGACTGAATAAATACATATTGATTAAATCCTTGAATTTGACAGCAATAAATCAACCAAACAACCTGGCATTTGTAAGATCAATAACTAATTGAGATAGCTGTAGAATAAAACGAAAATCCAAGTTGATTTGAAAAAAAAATTATGGAATTTTTAAAGGTGACTTTCGTTATTTAGTATGTTTAGCACTGAAATGCCTAGCTATTGTACCTTCCACTTAAATCCTTAATTGGGACAGCAATGAACCAAAGTACCAAACAACCTGGCATTCTGTAAGATAAATATATAATTGAGATAGCTGTAGAATTATATGAAAATCCAAGTTGATTTAAAAAAAGTGACTATCTGAATTAATTATGAACTGAAAATTCTAGTTTTTGTAAGTTACTTAATTTATCGAAGAAATTGACAGAAACAAACCAAACTACAAAATAACCTGGCATTTTGAAAGATCAATATATTTGAGATGGATGGGCAGATTCATATCAGTCGATACTACATTTAAAGATACAGACTGAGTCGAGACATATCGAGACTAGTCGAACATTGGTCGAGACTGGTCGTTCATTGGTCGAGACCATATTCCGACTATGCAAACATTTGCAAATACTAAATCAGACTTGATAAATAAAGTCGAGACCACAGATAATTACAGTTTTAGTACTGAAGAGATTATGTCGAATCTTGTCATGTTAAATATATGCTTGACCAATACTGTGGTCGAGTACAAACTAGTGTCCTTTCAGATTCTGAGCAGATTGTAGGGATATAGTCGACAAAGATTGCACAATACGGATTAATTAAACGTCCAAGTTCCGATGGGCTGCATTGTATTTACATTGACTACAGACAATATCGTGAGGAAAAACAAAATGCAGTCAACGTTATAAAATACTCCAGTTATCCTGGCGGTTCTAGGAGCATAAATTGTCCCAGAGGTAGATCGAGTGTCTTTTAATTTTTTAAGGATCCCTATCGGGCATGTATCAAATATACTTTTTTTTTTATTTTAAATTATTGTACTAAGACTTTTTATCCTAAATTTGATAGGAACATTGTGTTCTTTCGATTTTTCAAAAAAATAAGGCCAGTGACCCTTTAGTTTCATTTGATATTTCGGAAGCGCTCATGAAACATTTCATTCATTGAACATTAACCAATACTAACGTTAATGTTTCCTTTACCCTATATAACACATATTAAATAACTGTGATTTCGTAAATTGCAGTGTATTTTAACGAAAGAACGAGGTCTATGACCGTTAGTTTTTATATTGAAATTTGAAAATACATTCACCCAAAAGTCTTTTACATAGAATACAGACAATTACACGACCTTCATCGATCCAAACTTTTCTGATTGGGTTACATTAATTCCCCCAGAAACAACAGACGCAACTACCTCCGCCTGATTTTCATTATATCTCTAATTTGACATACATGGTAATCTTAGTACCAGAAGCAATGAGAAATGAGACGGTTTTAATTTTAAAATTATCAATTTCCCCCATCTTAGTAGTAATATACCAACTTCATCTGCATATTGGATATACATTTTCCAACTTATTCAGTATTCAAGAGCTAGCAACTGCTACTCAGACTTTGTAAAACGTCACCAGTGTCTGATCAGAATGTTGATGAATCAGGGGTGTGTCAAAGAACTCTAGCCCTTTTTCTAAAAAATTTCATCGGAAGATACGAAGACCTTATTGATGAATATTCCGTATCAACTTCACAAATAATACACGATGGTCTTGAATAGATATAAGAAGATGTGGTATGATGGCCAATGAAACAACACTCCATCCGAGTCACAATTTGTAAAAGTAAACAATTATACCTGGCAACGTCCACTCTGTGTAGTATCTATTCTATTTGAATCCATCTGATGAGTTAAGCCTTTTCAACTGATTTGTATAGTTCGTTTTATGTTGTAATGGTACACCACTGTCCCAGGTTAGGGGGGTTGCGACCCCGCGAACATGTTTAACCCCGTCACATTCTGTATGATGTGCCTGTCCCAAGTCAGGAGCCTGTAATTCAGTGGTTGTCGTTTGTTGATATGTTACGTATTTGTTTTTCGTTCATATTTTGTACATAAATTTAGCAGTTAGTTTTCTTTTTTGAATTGTTTAACATTTGTCATTTCGAGGCCCGTTATAGCTGTTTATGCGGTATGGGTTTTGCTCATTTTGGAAGGCCGTATGGTGACCTATAGTTGTTAATTTCTGTGTCATTTGGTCTCTTGTGGAGAGTTGTCTAATTGGCAATAATACCACATCTTCTTTTTATACATTATAGGTCAAAGTAGGGTCTTCAATTCAGAGCCTTAGCTTACACTGAACAGCAATCTTTAAAAGGCTTAAGAATTACTTATTAGTACGTAAACGGGAAAACCAGCGGTCTAATCTGTATAAAAACCTAGAAACAAGGAACACTTATGAACCACATAAATAAACGACAACCACTGAACATATAGATGAAGTATAGATTATGTGTACTAACGTTGTTTATCATCTTAATAACATGTTATGTTATAGTATTTTTTATATGCCTTTTTGAATATTACTTTTACTGTTTAGTCTATTTTTGGTGATATCCCTTTGACTTGGCTCTGTACTTAAACATGCTGTCATTGTGTTATTTTTTTTTTTTTTTAATTTATCATATTTTATTGAAATCAGTACATTTGTTAGTTGAAAAACATCAAGTACCGGTACCTTATCCCGGCCTCGTTAACATTAGTAAATAACATATTTATGCAGTTGTTAGTTTTTGTTAGTATTATACATACAATTTTCCATACTTGAAAAAATTATATACCATGTCAGTAATTTCAAAAAAGAAGTTTACCATTAAGATTTTCAAACATAATTATCTAGTAAAACAAATGCACAAGTTTTGAAAATATATATATATTGTTTTTATAATGAATTTCTTTTTTATTATACACATTTTGATGCACAATAGTTATATACACTAAACAGAAGATATATAATATATTTGATAGACACAGCTGTTATAGTTTGATACATTGCAAAAAATGATTGTAAGACAAAGGCTGTTTGGATATGAAATATATATACAATATATGTGGAGTCTATTAGGTTTTTGTTTGTTTGTTTTTATGACAGTAAAGGAGTCCAGGGGTTCCAGCAGTTCTCTGTCCTACTGAGTAATTTATTTTAATAAAAGATATTTTTTTCTATTAATAAGTTTTCTTTTAAATATTTTTTAGTGCTATTATATTGGTTTGTTCCATAGATAATTTGCTTCTATACATGTAGAATTTTGTTAACAGAAGTATTAAGTTTCTTATATCAATTTTATCTGTTTTTGTTTGAATACCAAATAAAACCAAATCAATATTTAAAGTCAGTTCTATTTCTGTCTTCTTAAATATCCAGGAGTTACGGTCTTCCCATAATTTTGATATATATGGACACGTCCAGAATATATGTTCTATTGTTTCGACCCCTTCGCACCCAAAACTACACATGTTTGTATCTTTAATTTCTATTTTAAAGAGAAGTTCATTCGTGCCTAAAATTCGATGTAATATTCTGTATTGAAACCACTGCAATTTTGAATTTTTTGTAATATAAAAGGGCAATACATGAATATTTTTCCAATTGAAGTTTGCATTGAGAATTAATGACCATTTTTGTTCACATTTTTGTGTAGAATTTGGCTTTTTACCATTCAAAATATTATACATATCTTTTGAACCTCACTGGGATTTAAAAAAAACCTTTAACACTGAGGGCACAACTGGACCGTTTTCTCTCTTTAAGTCATTTGGACATATTTTATATTCTTTTAAATACTTTTTTATTGCCGAAATTGATATGTGAGAAATTAAGTTTTAATATTGTATACATTATTAAAGGGATCAAAAGTCATAAAGTTTCCACCTTCCTCTAACAAGTCATTGATCAGCCAAACCCCTGTTTTTGTCCAATCTTTATATAACACTGAATGGTTATCAATCTTTATTCCATCATTCTTCCATAAAGGGCATGTGTTAATTTGAGAGTAATTTTGTACATTTTGAAGATCTTGCCAAGCATCAAATACTTTTTATCAAAATGCATTATTTAACTTTTTATAAGGAGCAATAAATTGCATTTCCAAAAAATTCAAATTTTCACTAGTTTTGAATTATTTCTAATAATTTTTCTTATCCAGGTTAATTTTAGACCTTTTATGTAGTTTTCAATATTTATCATTTTTAGTCCTCCTAAACAGTGTGGTTTGGATAAGGTGTCTCTATTGACTTTATCTGGTTTGTTATCCCAGATAAAGGAAAATATTTGTTCAGTAAAATGTTTAAGCTTTATGCTATTTGGACTAGGTATGGACAGGAATAGATGGTTTAATTTTTATTTTATAAGTGTTTTTATCACTGTTATTGTTCCAATTGGTGAGGGTATTTGGTTAGTCCAAGTTTTTATAATGTTTTCGATTTCTTTCAGCCTGGGGTTATAGTTTAAATTTTCAATTTCACTAATATCTCAATTTTGTGTCGTATTTGTGATAACTGGTCAAATAGAATATTTCAGTGCCATATTTAGGAAATCTGTATAACATGAACTGTATTGATGTTCTGGTAATGATAGGAACAATTCTAAATTCACAAAATGATAGTTTATACCAAATTTTGAAACAATTACCAAAAGAAAAATTAATGACAACACCGAATCAGTGTACGCAATTGATACTCTTTGCATTTGACAGATTATAAACAAAACTGTTCTTTGTAAATCATTATTTACAGCTAAATCATCAGATTTAGACGACAATGAGAAAAGGTGGTTGGTTGTTGGAATATGTATGAACACTGTATTAATACCAGCTTTGAGGAAATATGTTGTTCCAATTCTAACAGTCCTCTATAATGAATTAACCCGCTATCAGAATATTGATACGCAAATATATCCAACACATTCACAGTATTATCAACCAACAAACAGATTCCTGAACTATGGAGCTGTCAACAACAACAAAGCAAGGTTTGGTAAGAAACAGGCAATGTACGACTACACAATCAAGAGTGTTGTTGATTTATCCAAGCTATTTTTACCGACACACATGGCACACTATACAGGCTTTGATGACACATGTGACATTTCTGCTTTGCTGGAATTGATCATCAACATTGACAAGTTTCCTACAGTTGTAAAGTCAGATGCTGAAGAAGTAAGATATTTGTGTAAACTACGGACAGAAGACTTATACATGTTATACGTTTACATGAAAAAAACTCATTTCAACCAATAACAGCCAACAAAAACCTTCCTGAAATACGATGAAGGCAACAAAAACAATGCAATGTATGAAGTACTACTACACAATCAAGAATGTTTTAATTTCTCCAAGCTATTCTACAAACAGACATGGCACATTATAAAGCTTTAATAACACATACAGCTATTTCCCTTTGCTGTTATTGATTAAAAATATTGACTAGTTAACATAGATGCTGAATATGCAGGTTCTGTATCTGTTTAAACTGATATCTAACCATTTCTTCAAGAAAGTTCAAAGTGCTAATCATCTATTCTTTTCGTGTTTTTTATAGTAATGATATTCATTTTTAAAATCAACGTCCGTAGTTGCTAAATCACTATTTGTTATATCGAGATGTAATTTGATATATAAGTTAATGTAAACCATTGGTCGTGGTGTTTAAGTGACTAGCGAACAATGCAAAAGAAGATTCAGCACCTTGTTAAAATGTTGTGGTATCGTTTACTGAACATTAGAAATAAAACAAAAATGTACATTGTGATAAAGATTGAATTATCTTAATTTGTTACCTTGGTAAACATGGTAAACTGACAAATCTTTCAATTTCCCACTATTAGTCTATATTTCTAAGTACGAATCTGTTTCCGCACAGTTAATTTCATGTTTTTAATCGAGGTTTCATATTATGAATGTCATCTCAGATAATAGCAAAATAGATATGTGTTTAAGGACCACTGTGACACGAATTACCAACTACTTTAAAAACACAATGCCTTGCGATTTTATTTTGCTTCTATGTATTAATTTATACAGGTTTCATATGTAGTATATATCTTGTTATGTATCAGGTACGACGAAGTATACAGAACCCATGGGAACGAGGCAATTGCACCAAATGGGATGCGGTGAAATGCTCCAATTCATTCAAACTGATGAGAAAAATAGTCAAGGACCTCAGTCTGAGTTTAAACGAGGAAAATCAAATCATTGAGAAAATGAAAGAATGGGAAATAAAGGGTATTGTGCAAATATTAAATTTTGAATAATGAATAATTTTAGTTCTCTGAACGTCAAGTAGCAAATATCTAAAACTTGAAGAAAATGTTTCAAACAAAGTGGTATGGGAATCTAAATTAAAAATGATAGAATTTGTTCATACTTTGCCAAAATGTAGTATATATTGTAATATGATCAAAAATGTAATAAAAATGATAACTTACATTCCTTAGAAAAATTGCTAATTTGAATGAAAATCTAGACCTTAAGTTCTCTGTAATTTACAATCCAAGATGGCGAAAGACACCCATACCACCTTAATCACAAGTTTGATCATCATAAATCTTTGTTTTAAATGTAAACATAGAGAGTTGTATTATATTATTGAGATAAATTGATACAAAATTTACAGATACGGACCGGGTTTTACTAGGTCCGAGTACACAGTTATCGTACTTTGATTTTCATTGTCCACAAATATAGTCCTTAGTGTGGACAGTGTGTAGCTTGCCAATTTTTTTAGTACCCCTTCCAAATGTATATCTTCATGTTTCATGTCTCAAACAGCAAGTAGGGGGATGAGATTACACTGTACAATTTGGGTCATGAATTTTAAGGTAAAGCAGACGAAAAGGGGATCTTGCAAATAGACTAGAATATACATGAACGTGATTATTTCAACTTCCCATTTCTCGGCAAAACATTCTTTCTGTCCATTGTATGACGTTTCAAATATCTGAATTAATACGTGACGCTCGTGCATTTCTTAAAAAGGGGAACTTTTGTTACACAAAGTGAAACATACTGTATATAAATGTTGTGCGTCTGAACCGGTTTTCTTGATTTGCCTTCAACAGGTCACTGAAGCCCACAAATTTAAACCCCAAACTGTATAAACATGTATTAACGATAGAAAACGTTTATTCCATCATATCTATATAGGAACAAATGCCAGAATAATTAAAGAATATATGCAGTCGTCTATTTTTATGTAAAGGAGTTGATATATAATTTATCACATATATATTCTAAATTAAAAGAAATATAATTAGTTTAAACAAATTTGTTTATAGTAGATTGGGAAACAAGTTATTACAACTAATTTTAATCCCTTTCCACTTGACCGGTGAGAGTGCTGCCTTGTAGCGGCATTATCCTGCTCTTTTTCGAAATCTACAAGGGTGTCTTTTATGTGCAAGAGATATGGCTCTCTCTTAACACGGGTCAGTCATTTATCGACCCCTGGCTTCCCACGGACTATCATTGTTTTCTCAAGACCATACTCGGAAATGGTGTCATGGGAGAACCGAAAATTCAGTTCCTGAAAGCCGAAATTGAAGTTACGCTGTATTTTCCGATCTGTAATTGATTAACTTACGACAACATATTACATTGTTAGGTAGATATCTTGGTTATGTGTAAATGATTACAATCAATTACGAAACATGATTATCCTATACCCAAAAGAGGATTAGGCGAGTAAAAAACCTTGATTTCAATTTCTGCTTAGCAATAAAAACGGTACCTGCATAAAGAAGTCATTTCGGACATCTGATATGTTCTACTTGTTCACACTCCTGTCCATTTTTTTATTGCAGGTTACTTCAACAAAAACGATTTGTCACAGTTTTTTTCCCTTCCTTGGGCTACAGTATAACTATAGGGATATGCGGTTTGATTGAAAACGGGAAAATTATCTGCAAGAGACCGCATGACGAAATGCCATCAACTATAGATTGCAAGAAACTGCCTGTTGTACTATATATTAAGGGTTTTAAAAAATGAAAATTGTCAAGCAATTGTGTGGACGACAAATAAAATGTATAAAACGAAAACGGAAAAGCCGTTTTCACAGATTTGATGATGAAGGCATCATTTTTACGAAACTAACGAAAGAGCAAAAAACCAAGATCGTTTTCTTATACAGCATTTGTTTGTGTTATATCAAATAGCTCTATCTACTGATGGCTAACTGATTTCAACGTAGGTTTCTACTGATCCCTTAGATAGCCACGTTAATTTTTGTTTTGGGGTAAAAAGAGTTCAAAGAAATATGCCCTAGCTTGAATTATGAACAAACATTTCATAAAAGAAGCGTATTTTGTAAACTGTAATTATGCAATCCCTTTTAACACCGATCACATTCCATTTTAGCTCTATTTCTTATAATACAAATGAGTCAGGGATAGCGATTCCAGTTCCCTTGCTTAATGAGACGATGAGCATTTGATAAACATTTTATATTTCCGGTTGTCATTTACGAGATAACAATCAATTAACCGTACGAGAAATGTTTATTACATGTTTTACTTTTGTACAATTTAATTTTTGCATTTGTGGGGCAGTATTTTTTTTCTCCAGTTCATACCTGAAGAGAACATTCCAAAATCAGAGACCCCTTTTAAATTATCTATAATCATATCATTAGTTTATTATAGTGTAATCATTTGCAGTTGTTAAATCTTCCTTTTCCGTTTTTTTTTTCGTTCTATTTCGGTTGATTTACTTTTAAAAAAAATCATAAGGGGTTTTGGTTTGATGCTGAATATATATTTTATAGATATTGTTGTTGCAACCAATTTAAGGATTTGAAACAGTTTTTGTCATGACGAACGGATCATATACTATGAAACTTTATAAAACCAATGCGTTAGTAATTTTGAATATGCCGGATTGGCCTGAGAATAGGTTAAATGCTGTTGTTAGAACAAACATCTATCACTTGGAATCAATCACACAGTAAGTTCCATGAATTGTGCTATGTTGCATTTCTTAAATTTTTCTATCTTTATAAAGTGTTCTAAAAATATCTAATGCCTTTATAGTAGAATTGAGTGGAATTTTCTTATTTTCAATAGAACTTTTACCAGCAGACAATGTTAAAATGACGACCTCTAAAGATGAATCAGACACTGTTAAAAACGATATTGAAATACAGGGACATACAGGAGGCAAGCATGAAGGTACCTGTAGTTACTTTTAACGTAAAATTTAAAGAATGTTTGTGAAATATGTGAGAAAATAAAAGATAAAGGACATTAGTTGCAAAAAAAATTAACACTGAATCTATTCTTGCATGTGACGTGGCTCTGAACTAATACATCCCGTCATTGTGATATTGTGTCATGGTAAATGTTTGTTTATACATCTGTCTGTTTTTATAGTGATTATGATTATAACACAACGTTGACTGATGTACCCCTATTTTTGACATTCTTCCTAATATGTCTGTTTGTTTTGTTCACACATCGTTGTCAATATAATGGAATTTAATACCACTGTCATACAAATGAAAGGTTTAGCTAACTGTAAAGCCAGGTTTAATCCACCATTATTTACATAGGAAATTTCATGTGCCAAGTCATGCATATGACAGTTGTTGTCCACTCGATTCATTTGATGTGTCTGAGCATTTGATTTCGCCATTTGATTAGGGACTTTCCGTTATGAATTTTACTCGGAGTTCAGTATTTTTGTGATTTTATTTTTTCAAACTCTCAAATCTGTTGTAAATAATATCTAGAGCTACAAAAGGTCCATAGAAAACAACAAGCAATGTCTGAAATCATAATAAAATATCAACATTTCGTGTTTATTCCTGAACAGCTATAGATATAAAAAAAGCCAGTAAATATAAATACAAATAGGTAAACATATAATACAAATAAACAGGAGAGCATGCCCACTGTGTAAGGTCTATTTTCTTTGATCTGTTTGATCTCATTTCATAGACAAAAACATATCAATTGAATGTGAATCCTTTACGAATTATTTTTTAAAAGCACAATTGTATATGTCAAATCAATCAACGATTAGATGAAAAATAGATTAATAGCCGTGGTATTCCTGGGGATCTAAACCTTTTTCAATATGAACATCTCAGAAAGGTGATATATCATGGTCCTAAGTTCATGGAATCCAACACATCAATTGGAACCATAGTTCCAAAAATAATTATTGATTCCATTGAGTACTTCGCTAGAGTTAAATTAAATGAAATTGTCAGAATAGGTCAAAACAAGCAGGTCTCTGATAAAACGTCGAATTCATAAGTTGAAAAACTGTGTGAATAATCGATTTAAGTCCGTTTTCAGAGACAAATTGTGAAACCATGAAATATCTATCAGCTCTTCGCGATAAACATGATAAATATGTTGTTGTTTCTGCGAACAAAGCTTCAAATAATATCCTCTTCGTATATAAATCGTACTACTACGAGTGTCTTGTAAAAGAATTAGGAATAAATCAGGTAGTCCCACATACAAATTATTATCTAAGGTACCAGGCTTATAATTTGATACGTCAGACGCGCGTTCCGTCTACTTAGACTCATCATTGACACTCAGATCAAAATAGTCAGATAGCCAAAACAAGTACAAAGTTGAAAAGCATTGAGGACCCCAATTTCCAAAAAGTTGTGCCAAAAACGCCCAAGGTACTCTATGCCTGGGATAAGAAAATCCTTAGTATTTCGAATAATTCAAACTTTTGCCAACGGTAAATGTATAAATGACCATATAATTGATTTTCATGTCAACACCGAAGTGCTGACTACTGGGCTGATGATACCCTCGGGGACAAAACGTCCACCAGCAGTGGCATCGACCCAGTGGTGTAAATAATTATCAAAGGTACCAGGCGTATAATTTGATACGCCTGACGCGCGTTTTGGCTACATAAGACTCATCAGTGACGCTCAGACCCAAACAGGTAGAAAGCCAAAACAAGTAAAAAGTTTAAAATATGCCTGGGATAAGAAAATCCTTAGTATTTCGAATAATTAAAATTTTGCAAAACCATACCATTTCACACGGATGATATTTTGGCTAATCATAAGTCCTTAATGGCTTCAATGAACATTACATTGAACAGCAAATATGAGAACTTACCTAGTTTGTATTAGATACCTTCACCAACTTCATAAAATTTGGTACAAACATAGCCGGCTTATTTCCATTAAATTCTACAAAGGAATTGTCCATTATATTGACAAAACAATATGTTCTTATTGAAAGAGAGCCTTCAGAAATACTATAAAACTGTTCATTAGCGTAGTGGTATTTACCATGTGTGGATAATAAAAAAACTCTTAAGAACTTCTGGGTAGTTTAAAATCGCGATCTTTCTCTAAAATTCATGTGAAATTAAAAAGTCGTGTGAAAAATATTCAAAAATGCTTTCAAATATAAAAATTAATGTTGTTAGTTTGTGATTCCTCAAGGCATATTTTGTTAATATTGAACAAAAAGTAAAACATGCTACTCATTGGAACAAGGAATCAGTATGCTGGAGTTTCGTATTGACAACATATTTGTAGAATTAGGAGATAGACTTTTCAACAGATTGCTCTCTTTTCTATAGGAACGAACTGTGCGCATGAGTTGGAGTTCCTTCAGTGACTTGTCAAAAACCAGAAGATCAAATAAGCCAATTCATTTAATTTCTAATTCATATATATTGATAATTGTCTCTCTATAAACAATTCAAACATTTCTGATTGGGTTCCATTAATATAACCTTCAAACTAGAAATTAAATAAACAACAGACACAGCTTCTTCTGAATCTTTTTCAGACTTATATCTCCAGTGTAACATTAGCGGTCTTCTCAGTACCAGAATCAATGATAAACGAGACGATTTTAATTTTGAAAATATCATTTTCCCCCACCTCAGTAGCAAAATCTTAACTCCACTTGCATATGAAATATACATTTTCAAAAATACCAGGATCTTGTTGATAAATATTCCGTAACAACTTCACACATAATACATGATGGTCTTAATGTATAGATTCTAGGGATTGATGTTGTTTATCATCTTAATTACGTGTTATAGTGTTCTTTTATTTGTAAATTATTGACGTTTACTGTTTGGTTCTTTTTTTGGAATATTTTTTAGGCGAAGCTCGATACTTGTAGACCCCGTCATTGTGTTGTTGTGCTGTGGTCTTTTTTTGTATTCTTGTGTTTCATTTTGTGTATGTGCTTTGTCTTTATTCCATTGTGTTTTTATTTATTGGCATATTTGTTTGTTTTTATGATGATCGAGATTATTACACATTGTTGACTGTTGTACCCCTTTCTTTTGACATTTTTATCTATTATATATATTCGTTTTGTTAAAATATTTTGGTCAATATAATGGAACTTTATGCGACTTTTTGTGACTGTCATTCAAGTTAGAGGTTTAGCTCAGTTTAAAACCAGGTTTAATCCACATGTTCCATATAATACCTGTATCAAGTCAGAAATATGACAGTTGTTATCCATTTGTTTGATGTATTTGATCTTTTGATATTGCCAATTGTCTAGGAACTTTCCATTTTGAATTTTCATTGGAGTCTGGTGATTTTGTTGTTTAACAATAAATAAGTTATTTTCAGTTTAAAGCAGTTTTGCAGAATTATCCATCTTTTAAAATATAAAGCTTTTAAGAATTTAGTTAACGCCGCCGCCATTACTAATATTCATGTATTTATGTTAATTGTGTTAATGTTGTATTTTCATAACAGAAGCAGAAGCTTAAGATAAAAAAAATATGCTTGTTTCTGTAATGATGTTTTGGGTTTCAATGAGCGTACCCTACATTGTTATGTATAACTAGTAAAAATTAAATCAGGAATTATGTTACAATAAATGACTTAATTCTTCAATTGAGATATAAATGTGTGGCTTGCAAGTTTGAAAACTTATTAGAAACGGAAAAGTACATCCTAAATTTTTATTGTAATGTTGTTGTTGTTTACCGAACCTGGAAATTTAAATACGATCCGGATATCAATTGTTTTAGTAAACTTGTTTTAAAAGGTTACCAATTCAAAACTGTAATTATACCTTTGTTTGTTGTCTTTTGTTTTGTTGTATTTAAATAGATATTGATTTTGTTATCAGTTGATTAAAACCATACTAAACATTATTGTTAGGCTCATAGGCATTTTCAAGAAGAATAAAAAAACTTTAATAAACTTTGGAGAGTTGATAAAAGTAGACGGGATAAAGAGTAAAAGCATATAAGAAAATATACCCCCCCCTCCCCCCCCCCCCCCCCCCCCGATTCGTAGCAATGAACTGATAATGATTCCCAGTTATTCTGTAGTAAATCCTGATTTACTACTTTCTGTTAGAAAGTTAGCATTGGTAGCATTACCAAGATAAACATTAACAGTTCATATATTTCAAACGGTTATGCGGTTGATATTTTCACAAACTAAAAAAATAGAGTAATTCTCTCTTTTTACTATCTAACAGTTTGCTTAGATTCACAAATCTGTATCACCGGATTCCTTAATAAGATTAATGAAAATATTCACAGATGAATTATGAAAAACCAATGAATAAATGATGATTCTGATTGTATTTTGTAATAGATCCTGATCTGCTTCCTTTTGCTGGAACGTCTGAAGATTTTCGAAAACTGCTATCCACTGGAACATATGAGTCGTTTGAAAATAGAGTTTTCCTTTGTGGAAGTTGTGCATGTGGAAAGTCCACCCTTGCAAGTGTTCTGATTGGTAGCCCAATACCACTTACATGGAAATCAACAGATGGATTAGTCATACACTTTGGGCGAAATGGTATCAACTTGGAGAGTTTTGAGATGGTCCCTTTAAAAGAAGGTAAAGTAGTTTGAAAATATAAGACGTGGATATTATTAATTCATATAGCATAATAAATTCCAAGATAGGCATAAAAAGTTCATATATTTGCAACGATATCAATGTTGATATTTTCACAAATGAAAATAAATATGGTAATCTTTTCCTTTGATTTATAAAATACCTTTGTTAATACGATATTCCAGGGCTTGTTTTTCCTTTCGTGATTTCCTTGATAGAGATTTGCTGCTTACATTGAAGCTATTTGAGCAAGAGTTCGAAGTAGTAAAATTTATATCATTCGTTCTTAAATTTTACAGACGCCTCAAAGATGGTTGACCATTATGGAATATCTGTTTCACATATGACGACGGAAATGTTCCTATGGTCGTAACGACAATCCCTTCCGCTTTTATCTTTCAAGAGCACATGAGATCACCCCTGGTGTTTAGTGGGGTTTTTGTTGCTCAGTCTTTAGTTTTCTATTTTGTGTTTTGTGTACTGTTTTTTGTTTGTCTTTTTGTCTTTGTCTTTTGGGCCATGGCGCTGTCAACTTATTTTCGACTGATAACTTTGGACTTACCTTAAATTGGTGTCTATCGCATTTTAACAGTTATACTTTTAAACAATATCGTTTTATTGAACAATGCATTGTTACACAATATTTCAGATTCAATATGATTTAGAAGACTGGCTTAATATTGGCAATGAAACAACTATCCTTCACATAAAAGTAAAGCTGCTTCAGTTTACTTTCATAAATACTCTATGGTCGGGTTGTTGTCTCTTTGACACAATCCCCATTTCCATTCTCAATTTTATATTATGTAAGTTCACTGGTAGCATATTATCAACACTATAAAAAAAATTTAACAAAGGTTGTACGAAAATATATAAGTAATGTTTATATACGAAATCAAATCTCACGAAATTGACTTCCACAATATATAACAATATATCGATATTAACTATACCTATCATAATGTAAACTGATGGTTATTATAAATGAAATATCTAGAATTAATTTCTATTAATATTAAAGCATTTCAATTATTCAACTGGATCAAATTCCAAATTTCTGTACCTTGAATTTCTAAAAGTTTAATCTTAAACTAAAATCTCTAATACGCCTGCCTTTACTTTAAGACCTCCCGAGAATGCAATTTTCCGCTATCCAATAGTATGTGTTGTGGTACAATTTAAAGGATGCGTCTCTATGAAATAAAATATGGAGATTATATCTGTGAACCAGCAGGTAAACATTACCAGAGGAGTCGTGGTTTTATGGAATTAGCTGTATTTATAAAGTGCAGCCTACATCTATAAATATGTACAATCATCATTTAATAGTATTATGGAGAAATCAGATTTATTTATCAGATATTCGGATTTTGATGTTGATGAAATAAGGCAACATTAATATATCGGTGTTCAAAAGTCATAAATTCATTGAAAATGGCGAACAGCTGCATTTTGAAGTGTCATTTGGTTTTATACTATAGGGTATGGTAGAATGAAGAGAAACATACTAGGTTAGAAACTTAAAATTAGAATGCCAAAAAAATGTCATTTTAATCCCGGTAGTATTCAAATACATCTATTATGTTAAGAGCAATCAAACCATAAAGACAGGTCTATACCAATTATGCATGTACATAAAAGAATTGATATTCATACTTATACGTGAAATTGATGTTCACAAATAAATGCAAAATGTGTAAGGTTCTATCATTTTATGTGATCTACATTGACTTATGAACCATAAAAATAAAGCCAATGGCATATGAAGCTTGCCATTTAGGCATGTTCACCATACTTTTATTCCATATACCAGATATAGTTGACCTATTGCTTATTGTATCTTTTCAAGTAACAAAACCAATAAAGATTATCATTGTCCAATGGACAATGCAAATGAGATCAAGGTCAAATAACGCAGCAGGACAGGCACAAACCTTACAATGATTCTGTAGAAAAATAAAACACAGAAACTTTTATATGAAACCAATAATTCAGATATGAAAAGTGATAAGGCAATAAGATCTTATGAACGAAATGAAAAGTTAAAAGATGAAATATACACATATTACACATATAATGAAAAAAGGTGGACACATTTTAAAAACATGAATGTTCTTTTAAACGAAAGTTATTGATAGAAAAAAATAATCAAAAAAATGTTGTCAAATTCTTAAAACAAATATGAACCGTTATCTTATTAGATAATTTTGATTTTTGGATAAATGATGCAAAATTATCAGGTCAATTATAAAGTCGTAATATGAGCAATATATTTGTCCAATTCACGTATTAGTTCTAGACCAGATTGACTTTAACATGTTTAATAAAAACAAATATCATTTATTTGGTTATACCTGCTGACCTTTTGAAGCCGTTTTATGTATCAATTTGAGCAGCTCTGTGTTCTTTGTCTTAATTACATAATAAGTGAAGTGGTTAAGTTCTTGTTTGAGATGGACTGATTTTATGATATGTTATCACACATAAAACGATCATATTGTCAAATCACTATAATTGCATTAATTGTTATCTTTCATGTTTCTACCAACATAGTTATTGTAGTACTAGTACTTAAACTATTGTATGAGCCTAACATATTAGTAACTTGTAAGTGGTATCAAAATTATATTTTTACATTTATTACTACAACTTTAGCAATTGTATTTTACTTTTTTAATTCTATTTTCACTTATTGATGAAGACCTTCCGATCACGATAAAATTCACATACAAGTTTTAAATTGGAGAAACAGAAAAAAAAAAAAAAATATGCGTATGGTCAAGCTAATTTTCATGAGACAAGAACATGGATTTGTCTTCAACTTTATCATGTTTGTAATACTTTTTTATATTACTTTTTTCCAGTTGTAGATTGATGTAAACTCAAGGGTCGTACGAATATATACCTAAAGATAAAAAGCTTTATGGTTTTACAACCTATTCGACTAAACGTCATGTTTTTTTTTCAAGTATTTACCTTTTTCTATATGGACACTAGTATCTAACAACTGACCCTTTTTAATGTTTGATTAGAAGAAATAAACAGTTTCTGATACATGTAGATAGTTTTGTAAATTTAATAGATAAAAAACTATATTTCAAAAATGAAACGAGTTGTGCAATGTAGGATAATGATAAGGGATAAGAGATGCATGATGCTATAAACACATGATTAAACATTAGTTAAATTTATGGCTACCCAAATAAGATTGACAACCAGCCCATGGTTTCGACCTTGTAGTTATGTATATTTTGTTAGTTTTCCTCACTCTATGTTATCTATTTTCAAACATTATATTATATTTGAATTTAAGACACTACCCTAATCGACTTATATTGTACTAGAACCGCTAGTAATCTGCATTGAGACGGATTGACTAATTCTATTTTTAGTAACAATCCATGTTTTCTTTATCTGACAGTCTCTTTAAGTTTTTTCTTTCTTCATCATTAACATAAATAAATTGTACATTTTATTTGACTAGCACATTCATTGTCTGTATCATTAATTTTTCTTTTAATGACGAATTCATAATGAAAACATTTTTTCTTGGCAGAAGATAGAGGTCATAATGTGTTGACCAAGTTAGTTATTGGAAACCCGAATCGTGAGACCACTACACGTCAAACTATTGATAACCAACATGACACGTGCTTTGCGCCATCCTCTAATGATTTGACAGAATTAAATCTTCAGGTTACTAAGAATGATGAAAATTTCAGTTCAGAAGTTTCTGTATCCACCGAGGATGACATTGGGGAATATGAAGTCTTATCGAGTGAAAAGACCAGTACATCTGAAATGAACAATACTTCATCAATTAGTCTGCCTAATGTGAAAAAGGTTGAAGCTTACGCTGTACATGATGACATTTTGAAAGAAGTTGAGAGTGGTCAATACAAAGTTAAAATTGCACCTTCAGATTTAGTTGACTTTGGTGGTCAACGATCGTATGATATGACCCATCAGTTATTTGTTCAGCACGGTGGAACATTTGTAGTGATGTTTGATGGCAGTAGGGATTTTCAGGAACCTCTGACAGAATATCCTACGGATGATATTTCTAATGAAAGTAAGAACAGCCTTATGAAAATTGATAATATATATATATATTTGAGAATGGAGATGGGGAATATGTCAAAGAGACAACAACCCGACCAAAGAGCAGACAACAGCCGGAGGCCACCAATGGGTCTTCAATGTGGTCCTCAGGTGGCCCCTAAATAAAATTGTGTACCAGTTCAGTGAAAATTGACGTCACAAACTCCAAAACGTATAAATGAACTAAAATTAAAAAAAACATTCACACCTCACAAAGGCCTGAGGCTTCTGACTTGGTACGTAGTTTTCAATTTGAAGTTGTTTATATATATATGATTGCGTTGGATAAAAACCGCAAATTGTTTATATATATATGTGTATATATAAGCAACTTTTAAAATATAACTAGAATGACATCATAATTTAACTCCGCATTATCACTAAAATATGAAAATTAACAAAGAGGCATATGCAAGAGGGAAACTTATTTGAATATCCGTATTTTTCTAGCAATTGTGAAACATTGGGTCAACTCAATACTCACCTATTGTGTTGATGATAGTGATGTCATGCCAAAGATCTTGTTTGCTGCAACGCATAGGGATATTCTCTCAGATGTAAGCATTTATTCAGTTACCCTGTTTATTTGTTATGGTGATTTCATTTCATTTAATCGACACTTATTCGACAATGTATATGTTTCATTACATATCGTAAGCTATACAATGCCTAAACATGACAAAATACAAATTCATTTTAAAGGTTAATTCTTGAAACAGACACCTGTATATTATTGCGGGTTTAGCATGTTTGTAAGCGATAGAACACCCCCAAACCTAGGACAGTGATGTAACAGCTCAATATAATCGCAAACTGTAAAAATCAGTTAAAGAAAAGGCTTAACCCTTCAGATCAACACAAAAATATATCCGAATAGACTAATTGCACAAAGTATCGACCGGTCAATATTCGTAGTTAAGAACGCTATTTGAAAGCCAATTCCGACATTTGACTTTTAATAAAACATATTTCCAAGAGAAAATTATCAATCGTCACACATCCACTGGATGTAGAGTAAAGAGGTCACAAACACTGAGACAAAAAACATTACCTTGTCTAATGCTAAATCGTAAGATGTAATTAATTTGTTTGTTAGCATTATGTATTGTTTACCCACCAGGATATGCAGAAGAAAAAGAATAAGGAATTTGTACAGAGAGTCACTGAAATGTTTGGTTCCCATGAAATGAATAAACACATTGTCTTTGATCTAGTTTTCTTCATAAATGGTACAGACAAAGACGATCAAGAAATACAGCATTTGAAAAACCAACTTGTTACTATTGCCCGGAACCAGCCATCTTGGGGAATACGACGGCCGATGATTTGGGTCCCAATTGAGCTTCTGATCGATAATATGATCAAAGATAATATTCATATAATACCGAAAGCATATTTAGCCGAGGCAAACACAATGAATAAAGATTTAGCACTCTCTGACAAACAAATGGACGAGTTTCTCTTAACACAACACGCATTGGGCAAAATCATGTACTTTGATCAATCAGAACTTAACAATTTCATCATCCTCTATCCTCCTGCGTTGGTCAATATCCTGAGGTCATTCATCACAGATGAAATGTTTTGGCCCAAAGATGAGACCCTTAGAAGTATTCTAAGAAGAATGACAGAAACTGGTAAAATACACAAAACTGATCTCATTAAACTATGGCAACAGAAACAATTCATTCATCATATACCAGATGATGACTACAAAGAATTCATTATCCAGGTTCTTGTGCATCTCGATGTTTTGGTCCTACCAAAACGATACTCTGGCCAGGATGACACACACGTAGATTATTTTTTAGTTCCATGCACAACTAAACACAAGATGCCGATGTCCTTTCTGGATGACAAATCCTTTGCAAACAGAACAATTGCGTTGGTCTATCAAATACGACAGTCATCCATACCGTCGGCATTGTCTTTCAAACTGATAGGTGCTGTTAGTGGTATTTGGCCTATCAAAGAGGTAAACGGACGTCCATTATTATACCATTCCTCAGCTGTACTATCTGTTGACAGCCAAACCGAGTTTCGAATAATAGTAGAAGACAACAGAGTTGTCGTCTATCTTACAAACATGTCATCTAGGCCTTGCATCTCCCCAGATATCGCAGCCAGTATTCAAGAGTGCTTGACCTTTACTTTACAAGCTGTTTTGAAGTTTTATCTAATCAGCATAGGAAAGAACCACCAACAAGTAAATGTGTCGAATCTCTTTCACATTGAAGTCGGAGAAGTTTGTGGCAGATCTCCATGTGTGGTATCAGTTTTAAAGGCGAAACAAACTCCTGAATGGGTGTGTGTTAGTGGAAATACACATTTCTCCAGAATTCCTTTACTATGGGTTTTTAACAAGGTAATTCATATGGACTAGACATATTAGAAAAGGAAGTTGTGTCGATAAGGGAGTTTCTCTGTTGAATAATTCGTAACATTTATGATTTTCCTTCCTCAAAGCATGCAATGTTTTATAGCGATTCTCATAGACGTATTGTGCATTACTTTTTGTCTCGCCTTGATGGAGTCTAGTTTATGGTGAACCACTAGTGGTAGGTCAATGATATTTGGTATGCAGTTGTATAAGTATTGGCACATCTCATTACCATGGAGATTATTTGGAAATTGACTTTGAAACTTTTGGTTAGTTTACATGTATTAGTTTAATTTTAGTTTAAGATGAACAACTAATGTTGAGTAAATGCTATTTGGTATGCAAATGTATTGGTATTAGCAAGTTTCGTTACCATGAAGATTGACTTTGAATATTTGCATAACTTACATATTAAAGTATTGCTATTTCAATTTCAACATGAGCATTACGAAAATAACAAATAGGCAAGACATATCTCTGTGTTAACAGTTTATTGCAATTAATTATGTTCAGTGCACTAATTAATGGTTTATTTTAAGTGTGTTAACAGTAAGCATATAAAAATAAAATACAAGGTACAAAGCCATAGCAATCAAAAAGTTAATTGATTACAAAAATTGTGATGTTGTCAAAACAGGGCATAGGCTGTCATATTCATGTCCACCTATTTGACTCAAGTTTTCATATTTGACATACTAAAACATATCTTAATTACAATAAGTCTAAGATAAGAAAAAAAAACCATTCAAGGTCTCTATATCATATATCAGCATTGCTTGCATATTTTTGTCTAGACGTCATCTAATTAACCATTGAATTGATTACCAAAGACTACTGATGGTCATATAACACAATGTAATCATAAGTATAGATAAATAAAGTTCACGTGCAATAATAATTTTTCTTAGTCTGTTTGATTTCATGTTATAGGTTAAAAAAAAGTTAATACTTATATTACCTGTTAAAGAATGATATTTTGTGGATCGATTCAGTTAACGAAATGGTTCACCCTTGTTTCACTTTCAATTTTGTTATGTTTTTTCCCTTTTAAAGTTGAATACACTTATTAATTACATGCATATCCTATTTCCACTTAAGGAGCTAAAATTGAAGTTTACTTTAATAAGGATTCACGTCAGGTCGAATTGTTCACTTGCAAGTTAATTATACATCAGCGATGTTTTTTTAGCTTATTTTCACAAATTTGGGCCAAAGTAACTGTTAATTGCGAAGCATTATTTCAAAATTCATCTTTTATTAAAACCTGCAATAAAAATATTGGTACTTTACATTTTTTATCTAAACCATAGCTTTTTGCCATTTTAATTTATGCCGTACCTTTCTAAATTTTAATTTATCATAGTGTCTCTTCAAAATGTTTTTTCAGACACAGCAAGAATGTCAATCCAATTGTCCAGGTAAAGTAATTAAGTTCATAATTTATAAGGCGAAATGAGGATTTTTCTGATGCACAAATTCTCCAGGTAGGAGGAATGCACATTGCGAATTCTCTTAAAAAGCTGGAGTAGATAGTAAGGATGAATCAACTTTCATAAATAGAACATGTACAAGAAATCCGACAATCGGTGGATGAAACAACACAATGCAATTCACTTCACAGAAAAGAATACAGCAGCAAGAACCTTCTTAAACCGCAGTTGAAATATTAACAGTTTCTATACCAAATTTGGCACCTTAGGTCTTGTTAATTGCCAACAAACAGTTATAAATCATATTCCAAAATAAAATATATAGAGGAAAAGAGTACGGGTTTATAGCTTCCAGTGGAAAACAATAAAATTTCATCGATTTCGTGCGTCTGACAGCTTCTCTGATTAATTGCAATTTGAAATCAAAAGATGTTATACCACATCTAGAGCTTTAAGACAAGAGGAAACTTTAAACGGATGTAAATTTTCCTTACAGTCAACAAGCCTGATGTTAATTTCAAATTAATAATTGAAGAATCTACGATAAGTATGTTATGAATCAATCATTAGACCACATACTACTGAGCTGATGATACCCTAGGGAACCACCACTTGCAGTATCGGTCCAGTGCTTATATGTAAAAATAACATAAAAACTTTCGTGTTCAAATCGCTTGATTGAATAAACCTTCATCATGTTCATTCGGAACGATCTAATTCTAAAGAAAAAAATCCATGCATATGTTACAATCTTCAAACCAGATGAGCGTTGTGACCAAAAAAAAAAAATAGAAAACATCAGCGATCATAAACTTTGGCCAATATATCTGGAACCATATTTTTATAATGTTTGATTTAATTAATGGCGAAACTACTTCCATTTTGTTTTAAATAATGTGAGTATCGGGGTACTGACTACAGAGCTGATGATAAACCATCGGAAATAATAGTCCACTAAGTGCAGGATCAATTGGGTCATAGTCAATAAAAATAGTTTCATGTTACAAATCATTTGTAGCCATGCATTACTTATGGTCATATCTAATTCACACAAAGCTTCGTTTTTCATGCATTAAATACATTAATGCATAAAAAGCTAGATATATATATAGATGTTTAGACGAATTATATATATATATATATATATATATGATTCATATATTTAATAACTGTTGTTAGCTATGCAAAAACATTTAAATGCTAATAAATTCTTTATTGTTCGAAAACGATTTAAAAAATACTTGTTTATTCTATTTCTACGATAATTGTCTCTTTTTATGACATTATTTTTTATTTTAAGGTCTTGATGAAACTGTCTTGACAATGTCGCCAAGTGAGCAACATCTCTCAAGACTTGCATATCAACTGAATATTCAAAGTTGTAGGGAGTTGATAATTCACCTCGGGATACAACTGAATGACTGGGAAGATATTGAGTACAGATACGTACGCATGCCTCTTATTATCAAAACCATGGCATTGAATTTTTGGAAAACGAAAAACATAGTGGGAAGACCAAACAAATCATTCAACAACTTGCTGGATGCACTGAAGGCAGTTGGCGACGAAAGGCATTTACTTTGCAAGGTTTGGAAAGTCTTGTTTATTCTTTTTTTTTATGTTTTTACAATCATACTTTATTGATAGTGTTTTCTCCCTGTCTGTTTGGGGTATATTTCATTCCAGTAAGCAATAGTTTAAGATTTCATAGTATATATCTTGCTCTTTAACATTTCATTTATCCTCTGTATTATTTATTATCTAATGATCTTACTTTTAAATAAAAAATAAAATCACAAAAATACTGAACTCCGAGGAAAACTCAAAAAGGAAAGTCCCCAATCAAATGGCAAAATCAAAAGTTCAAACACATCAAACGAATGGATAACAACTGTCATATTCCTGACTTGGTACAGGCATTTTCTTATGTAGAAAATGGTAGATTGAACCTGGTTTTATAGCTAGCTAAACCTCTCACTTGTATGACAGTCGCATCAAATTTCATATGATATTAACAATTGGTACTGATAGTCATTTTAATGCACCTGGTTCAAAGCGCCAACTGAGCTTTTCTCATCATTTGGCGTCCGTCGTCCGTTGTCGTCGTCGTCTGTTAACTTTTACAAAAATCATCTTCTCTGAAACTACTGAACCAAACTTAACCAAACTTTTCCACAATAATCATGGGGTATTTATTTAAAAAGGTGTTCGATGATCCTACTTGCCAACCAAGATGGCCAAAATGGCAAAAAATAAAACATAAAAGTAAAATGTAAGTTTTGTTTTTTTATTGTCAAAACTGAAATAAATAGAAAAAATCTAACAGGACATAATGTTCAGAATGTTGAGCTCTACTAATTGTTAATTGAACTAAAAACTTTAAGACTTTAATCGTAATCGTCAGTCTACTCCTTAAAAGAGTTATTGCCCTTTGATGACAATTTTTACCAATTTTTGCGTTTTTGCCATATATATATAGAATTATAATAGATAAAACAAAAACTTAAATAAGCAAAAATTAACGCGCAGACAAATTCTACATTTAAGACAATATGGAGAAAACTTCCCGACGACTCCTTATTGGAGTTATTGTCCTTTATTTAATTATATTGTTTTCGCGTTTTGCCTGATATGAAAAAAATATAAAAAATAGAAACCTTTAATAACAAAAATGATTCCCAAACAAGTCAAAATTGGCCGATAAAGTTAATAGACTATCACTATTAATAGGCATGATTGCCCTTGAATGAGGATTTTGTATCGTCTTTTGTGTTTTGAACAAAAACTTAAAAAGATTGAGACTAAACAGACCAAAAATATCAGCATTACAAGATCAACATTAGACAAAGGTGTGTCATAATTTCTTCTTGTCTACAATTTTGGTGAGAATCCATTGTCGAATATGCACATAGACCTAGATTAGCGACACAGGCTCTATAGATCCATGCGTGTTTTTTTCTTTCAATTTTCCTGACAAATAACGCTTAAAAAGCCGGTTTCGTTTTTGGTTAAAGAGGAAGAGAAATATGTTCTACAGAGGGATTGTTTGTTTGGTTCCATCGATTGAGTATCCGTTTTGAACAGATGTATTTCATATATATTATAAGAAATATATCAATTGACAAAGGGACATTATCAGTGAAGTAGCGGATGAATGTAGAGGTACAAAAACGTACATGTATTATTCATAATTAAAATAAGTAATTAAACAACGCATAATTTCAAGAATGAAATATAACTTCACTATGTAAATCGTGTCGATCATTTCGATCTTTCAGTCTAAGCTCGATTGTCATTTAAAACATCTTCGAAAACGAAACACAAACTACGATCAATAAAACGTGTCCCCCATGTGGCAAAAATATGACGATAAGAATCAGGAGGTTACCTACTTTATGTTTGGAGTGATCGTTTATTGTTTTCAATTATTTTGTCGTGTATATAAAACATAATACAGCTGATTTTCACTGACATTTAACAGATTGTAAGCTTGTTTAAACTTTTTTAAGTTACTCCTACTTGACCGAGAACCAGAATTTCCTACATATAAAGTAGGTAACCTGCTGAAAAAAAATGTAATATACTGGAGTCAAAAGTCGGTTAGATGAGAAATGTCTATTATTGATACGTGTCTAGAAAATGCGTTAAGTTCTAAAACCACCTTTCGTCTTTTTGTTTCAAACAAACGTTAAAGAATGTTATGGACACGACCAAAAGAGCTGCGTTTTCACTAATTTCCCTTTATGGAAAACACAATAAGATAGTTAACAATAGCGGTAACATTTGTACTGAGCCAGATGCGCATTTTGACTAAGTCAAATGTTGAAAAGCTTAATATGATAAAAAAAAAAAAGAAAAAAAGCCGAGATGATAGTCAGGATTCATGACGGAGATATATTCCTTCATTTAAAATGATTTCCATAATTCTATAACAGCAAACAATATTCGTATTTTTCTACAATAGTACCCAAGTACTAGCTACATGGCTAATGATACCCGCGTGGACTATCAGTCCAAAAGCAGGGGTATCAAACCAGTGGTAGAAATAACATAAGCTATTTTATTCGTTAGCTATTTTTTTCGTGTTTAGTGTATTGCACCAGATACTATTTGTTTTACAATTAATGTCTCTTCATTGATGCTCGATTCCAAACATTTGAAAATCCTATAATGGAATGCATGACCTATGATTTGGTTATAGTTAGCTTTAAGCTATTTTTAAGTTACCAAGAGTATCCTTATATAGGTGATCAGTGTCTATTGGTTGTATGTTAGTTCTTTTGTGCGTCGTACCGATCTTTTGAGTTATTTCAATTACGACTGATTTTTACATTTGGTTCTTATGTTGTGCTATAACACCACTGTCACAGGCTAGGAGTATGGTTGGGCGTTTACATACATGTTTAATCCCCCCCCCCCACATTCTTATTTACGTGCGTGTCCCCAATCAGGAGCTTGTAATTCGTTGGTTCATGTCTGTCTTATTTTTTTTTCTTTCAAAAAATGTGTTGTTGTAAATTTGTCAGTAGCCTAAGTTTTCTCGTTTGATTTGTTTCACAGTTTTACATGTCGGGGTCTTTTATAGCCACGATGGTATGGATTCTTTATTCATAGTTGAATACCGTATGGTGATCTGATTGATAGTTGAACTAATGGCAATAATACCGCATGTTTGTCTTTGCATGTAAAGCAAACGTTCAACAGCTCAACGGACAAAAAGGCAACAAAAGTATAGCCAAATCAAGACAAGGACTCAGGCTTTATATGAAAAAGATATATTCCTTGATGTATCTAACGGCCTTTCACAGAATTTTTTTGGAAATATGTTAGGCTTGTTGTAGTTTATCTTAGTTTGCATTCCTCCTTCTTTCTTTTAATATTGTTATGACTGTTTTGTATTGTTGCACGTTAGTTTAATCTAATTATGTGTATTCTTGTTAATTGAGAACATTCGTACTGGTCTTTGGTCTGGAATCTGGAGACTGATATTGCACATCGTTTGTTGTGTAAAACAAAGATGGTGCACATAACAAAACTTTTAGTGTAGCTGTTATCGCGTAAACCAACATTATATGTGTCTACAGTATTTATTTAGTTGATGGCCAAATGTATATTTTAGCTCTAACGAAATTCTTAAGCGGGTACCCAACACTTTGACTAAAATAAATTTGGCTCGTTTAATTTTCATAAAATTTTGACAAAATATTTATTATGACCTATTGACAAAAATATGAAAATTTCGAGAAATTTAAATCACACAATTTACAGGAATAATTTGGTTGCATACAGTCCCTGTAACGTAAAAGTTAACACTTTTTTCATTCGGGAATCGTACGTACAGCGTTCGGGAATCGTTCGTATAGAGTTCGGTCATCGTTCGTACATCATTCGTATAGCGTCCGTACAACGTTCGGTCAGCGTTCGTTCATCGTTCGTTCATCGTATGGTAAATGTCATCGTTTAGGGTTTTGTATATCGTATGGTTCATGGTATCGTTAAGCGTTTTATTTGTTGTATGGTACATGGTATTGTTTGGCGTTTAGCGTTTCGTTTATCGTATGGTATATGATATCGTTAAGCGTTTCATCTATCGTATGGTATATCGTTTTGTTAAGCGTCTGATATATGTTAGGGTTTTATTTCAGAAAGTTATTTCAATTATTATTTTGAGTTAAAATAAATTAATATAAAAAGATGCGGGATAAAAAAAAACAATTTATTTATTAGTTTAAATTGATTGAAAGTTGGTTGCGTACTTGTATATCCCAAACAACCAAACGGATGCCCCCACTTTGGCAAGGTTTTTTTTACTGCCAGCCGTAAGAAAACCTTTAGTGACCATATTTATATCCTTTTGTCACCCTTTGGACTATATTAGATTGGAAAGATTGGATTGGAAACATTTCACTTGTTAATTAAAGCAAATAAGTTATCTTATTTATTATATATTTTGTTTCATACTAACTGCGTAGTTCTTGATGTCTTTTTGTAATTTTGAATCATTTCAAATTCGATCTTATAAAATGTTAAAAAAAAACTAACCTATACAATACCCTTAGTTAATTTAAACGTGAACTATTTATTTACATAAAACATATTTAGTCGTAAAAATAGTATTGGTTGTAAACGTTTTATCTTGATTGAGAAACGTTTAGCAATGCAATAAACTTACTTTAAATGTACTATAACTTAACGTAGATTTCGAACTGTAAACCATATCTTACCGATAGAAAAAAAATCTGAAACTAATATCATTATAGAATACCCTGCTATATAAAACGAAGGGGAAACATTTCCTTACACCACATTTTGACATGAATAACATGAGACCAATTTGAAATACCGCGAAATAAGTCTCTCTCTTTCTCTCTCTCTCCTCCACCAAATATTTCCTTGAAACAATAAATTATATATAATGTTCTATAAATGAGGCTTTATATGAGATACACGTTTTATATTTAAATGTATTTAAAGAAAAGACAAGACATCCATGGTATTTGTTCCCCTCAATGTCACAGTCTGATATAAACCGAAAATTGCCAGGGATATATAAAAATTCGTTGAAGACTTCTATGGAACCAGCGTCG